CTATAGACTAGTAGACTATATACTAGACTATAGACTAGACTATAGACTAGACTATAGACTAGACTATAGACTAGACTATAGACTAGACTATAGACTAGACTATAGACTAGACTATAGACTAGACTATAGACTAGACTATACTATAGACTAGACTATAGACTAGACTATAGACTAGACTATAGACTAGACTATAGACTAGACTATAGACTAGACTATAGACTAGACTATAGACTAGACTATAGACTAGACTATAGACTAGACTATAGACTAGACTATAGACTAGACTATAGACTAGACTATAGACTAGACTATAGACTAGACTATAGACTAGACTATAGACTAGACTATAGACTAGACTATAGACTAGACTATAGACTAGACTATAGACTAGACTAGACTATACTAGACTATAGACTAGACTATAGACTAGACTATAGACTAGACTATAGACTAGACTATAGACTAGACTATAGACTAGACTAGACTAGACTATAGACTAGACTATAGACTAGACTATAGACTAGACTATAGACTAGACTATATACTAGACTATAGACTAGACTATAGACTAGACTATAGACTAGACTATAGACTAGACTATAGACTAGACTATAGACTAGACTATATACTAGACTATAGACTAGACTATAGACTAGACTATAGACTAGACTATAGACTAGACTATAGACTAGACTACTATAGACTAGACTATAGACTAGAGACTATAGACTAGACTATAGACTAGACTATAGACTAGACTATAGACTAGACTATAGACTAGACTATAGACTAGACTATAGACTAGACTATAGACTAACTATAGACTAGACTATAGACTAGACTATAGACTAGACTATAGACTAGACTATAGACTAGACTATAGACTAGACTATAGACTAGACTATAGACTAGACTATAGACTAGACTATAGACTAGACTATAGACTAGACTATAGACTAGACTATAGACTAGACTATAGACTAGACTATAGACTAGACTATAGACTAGACTATAGACTAGACTATATACTAGACTAGACTATAGACTAGACTATAGACTAGACTATAGACTAGACTATAGACTAGACTATAGACCTAGACTAGACTATAGACTAGACTATAGACTAGACTATAGACTAGACTATAGACTAGACTAGACTATAGACTAGACTATAGACTAGACTATAGACTAGACTATAGACTAGACTAGACTATAGACAGACTATAGACTAGACCATAGACTAGACTATAGACTAGACTATAGACTAGACTATAGACTAGACTATAGACTAGACTATAGACTAGACTATAGACTAGACTATAGTCTAGACTGTAGACTAGACTAGACTTTAGACTAGACTATAGACTACAGGCTAGACTATAGACTAGACTATAGACTAGACTATAGACTAGACTATAGACTAGACTATAGACTAGACTATAGACTAGACTATAGACTAGACTATAGACTAGACTATAGACTAGACTATAGACTAGACTATAGACTAGACTATAGACTGACTATAGACTAGACTATAGACTAGACTATAGACTAGACTATAGACTAGACTATAGACTAGACTATAGACTAGACTATAGACTAGACTATAGACTAGACTATAGACTAGACTATAGACTAGACTATAGACTAGACTATAGACTAGACTATAGACTAGACTATAGACTAGACTATAGACTAGACTATAGACTAGACTATAGACTAGACTATAGACTAGAATATACTAGACTAGACTATAGACTAGAATATAGACTAGACTATAGACTAGAATAGACTAGACTATAGACTAGACTATAGGCTAGACTATAGACAAGACTATAGACTAGACTATAGGCTAGACTATAGACAAGACTATAGAATAAAAGACTAGACTATAGACAACTATAGAATAAAAGACTAGACTATAGACTAGACTATAGCCTAGACTATAGACTAGACTATAGACTAGACTATAGACTAGACTATAGACTAGACTATAGACTAGACTATAGACTAGACTATAGACTAGACTATAGACTAGACTATAGACTAGACTATAGACTAGACTATAGACTAGACTATAGACTAGACTATAGACTAGACTAGACTAGGACTATAGACTAGACTATAGACTGGACTAGACTAGACTATAGACTAGACTAACTATCGACTAGACTATACACTAGACTATAGACTAGACTATAGACTAGACTATAGACTAGACTATAGACTAGACTATAGACTGGATTATAGACTAGACAATAGACTAGACAAATAATAGACTAGACTATATACTACGTTATATACTAGACTATAGACTAGACTATAGGACTAGACTATCGACTAGACTATAGACTAGTCTATATAGTCTATAGACTAGGACTATAGTCTAGTCTATAGTCTAGTCTATAGTCTAGTCTATAGTTCTAGTCTATAGTCTAGTAGTCTAAGTCTAGTCTAGTCTAGTCTATAGTTCTAGTCTATAGTCTAGTCTATAGTCTAGTCTATAGTCTAGTCTATAGTCTAGTCTATAGTCTAGTCTATAGTCTAGTCTATAGTCTAGTCTATAGTCTAGTCTATAGTCTAGTCTATAGTCTAGTCTATAGTCTAGTCTATAGTCTAGTCTATAGTCTAGTCTATAGTCTAGTCTATAGTCTAGTCTATAGTCTAGTCTATAGTCTAGTCTATAGTCTAGTCTATAGTCTAGTCTATAGTCTAGTCTATAGTCTAGTCTATAGTCTAGTCTATAGTCTAGTCTATAAGTCTAGTCTATAGTCTAGTCTATAGTCTAGTCTATAGTCTAGTCTATAGTCTAGTCTATGGTCTAGTCTATGGTCTATTCTATAGTCTATTCTATAGTCTAGTCTATAGTCTAGTCTATAGTCTAGTCTACAGTCTAGTCTACAGTCTAGTCTATAGTCTAGTTCTACAGTCTAGTCTACAGTCTAGTCTATAGTCTAGTCTATAGTCTAGTCTATAGTCTAGTCTATAGTCTAGTCTATAGTCTAGTCTATAGTCTAGTCTATAGTCTAGTCTTCTATAGTTAGTCTATAGTCTATCTATAGTCTAGTCTATAGTCTAGTCTATAGTCTAGTCTATAGTCTAGTCTATAGTCTAGTCTATAGTCTAGTCTATAGTCTAGTCTATAGTCTAGTCTATAGTCTAGTCTATAGTCTAGTCTATAGTCTAGTCTATAGTCTAGTCTATAGTCTATTCTATAGTCTATTCTATAGTCTATAGCCTAGTCTATAGTCTAGTCTATAGTCTAGTCTATAGCCTAGTCTATAGTCTAGTCTATAGTCTAGTCTATAGCCTAGTCTATAGTCGAGTCTATAGTCTAGTCTATAGCCTAGTCTATAGTCGAGTCTATAGCCTAGTCTATAGTCGAGTCTATAGTCTAGTCTATAGTCTAGTCTATAGTCTAGTCTATAGTCTAGTCTATAGCCTAGTCTATAGTCGAGTCTATAGTCTAGTCTATAGCCTAGTCTATAGTCGAGTCTATAGTCTAGTCTATAGTCTAGTCTATAGTCTAGTCTATAGTCTAGTCTATAGTCTAGTCTATAGTCTAGTCTATAGTCTAGTCTATAGTCTAGTCTATAGTCTAGTCTATAGTCTAGTCTATAGTCTAGTCTATAGTCTAGTCTATAGTCTAGACTATAGTCTAGTCTATAGTCTAGTCTATAGTCTATTCAATAGTCTATTCAATAGTCTAGTCTATAGTCTATAGTCTAGTCTATAGTCTAGTCTATAGTCCAGTCTATAGTCTATAGTCTAGTCTATAGTCTAGTCTATAGTCTAGTCTATATTCTAGTCTATAGTCTAGTCTATAGTCTAGTATATAGTCTAGTCTATAGTCTAGTCTATAGTCTAGTCTATAGTCTAGTCTATAGTCTAGTCTATAGTCTAGTCTATAGTCTGGTCTATAGTCTAGTCTATAGTCTAGTCTATAGTCTAGTCTATAGTCTAGTCTTTAGTCTAGTCTATAGTCTAGTCTTTAGTCTAGTCTTTAGTATAGTCTATAGTCTAGTCTATATTCTAGTCTATTGTCTAGTCTATAGTCTAGTCTATAGTCTAGCCTGTAGTCTAGTCTATATTCTAGTCAATTGTCTAGTCTATTGTCTAGTCTATAGTCTAGTCTATTGTCTAGTCTATAGTCCAGTCTATAGTCTAGTCTATTGTCTAGTCTATAGTCTAGTCTATAGTCTAGTCTATAGTCCAGTCTATAGTCTAGTCTATAGTCTAGTCTATTGTCTATTCTATAGTCTAGTCTATAGTCTAGTCTATAGTCCAGTCTATTGTCCAGTCTATAGTCTAGTCTATAGTCTAGTCTATAGTCTAGTCTATAGTCCAGTCTATTGTCTAGTCTATAGTCTAGTCTATAGTCTAGTCTATAGTCCAGTCTATAGTCTAGTCTATAGTCTAGTCTATTGTCTATTCTATAGTCTAGTCTATTGTCTAGTCTATAGTCTAGTCTATAGTCCAGTCTATAGTCTAGTCGATAGCCTAGTCTATAGTCTAGTCCATAGTCTAGTCTATAGTCTAGTCTATAGTCCAGTCTATAGTCTAGTCTATAGTCTAGTCTATAGTCTAGTCTATAGTCTAGTCTATAGTCTAGTCTATAGTCTAGTCTATAGTCTAGTCTATAGTCTAGTCTATAGTCTAGTCTATAGTCTAGTCTATAGTCTAGTCTATTGTCTAGTGTGTAGGCTATAGCTTAGACAACAATCTAGACGATCTAGACCAGACTATAGCCTGTAGTGTGGGCTAAGATAAAGACTTGACTATAGACGAGACTGCAGACTACGCTTTAGATTAGACTATACATTAGACTACAGATTCGGCTATAGACTAAACTATAGACAAAACTATAGTCTAGTGCAGATACTATAGAATAGACTATAGACTAGGCTATAAACTGGACTGTTGACTAGAGTAAAGAATGCAATATAGGCTATACTATAAAATTATTATAAATTAAAAATACTATCATTTTTTTTTTACAGATTCTAATGAAAACTATGCCCACTTCCATGTTTCGTTTACTGACGGGTCAAGAAACACCTATTTATATCTAAAATCTAAATCTACATTTACAAATATTTTTATTAAGCTTTAAGACCTTTAACGAAATCATTATTAATACTAGTATTAATCAACAAATAACTATTATAATTATACAAAAACAATTTATGTTTTAAATTAATTTGTAATTTATAATTTCATACAAATTTCACAACTTTATAAGATTTCTAAAAACACATAAAAACAACATACAATTTAATTACAAACTTAGGCAGCAGCAGTTAAATGATCTATAAATTATATACATATAATTACAACTCAAAAGCTTTTACGATTAAAGCTTTAAAAATCAAACAATTTTAAGGCAAAATTTGGCTCAAAAGCTAATGCTTATAAAACAAGAACCTATTAAACGTTATTAAATATTTTCTTTCAATTTATTTAAATTTTTTTTCATTTCATTTAAAATGAATAAATGTTATAATTTAGAATATTATTTTTTTTTAGAAAACAAATCACCTAAAAACCAAACACTCTTTTTTTTAAAAAAGAAAGACTGACAAAATTTTTTTGTTGTTTAATTAAACACATAAATAATTTCCTTTAAATAAAAATACTCATAAATTGTTGTTCAACATATAACTGCTGCTAAATTGCATTTAGCTAAAAAAAGTTTATATGAAATTATATAGAAATTAACAAAGCAAAACAAACATCCAATTGTTACCATTTTTTCTTATATATTATATAAACAAATATTGTAATTAATCTCTAAAAAAAAACAAAAAACCTAAACAAATTATTGTCTTAACTAAATATTAATTATAGCATCTTGTTATTAGTTTAACTCTTAACAAAATTTAGTGCCATTTTGTTCCATTAAACTATTTTTATTAAAAACTCTTCATTTTTAAGTTGTTATTTAAATATTTAAGTTATTAATTAACACATTACTTTTTGTTTATTCTTAAGTATTTTTTGCAATATCTGAAGAACATTTAATGAATTTATTAGTTTTATATTTTTAATTTGTATTTCAACATTTGTTTAATTAGTTAAATTATCATTTATAAAAAACTACCTTACTTATATTAATAAATTAATTAATTTAAGTTTAAAACAAACATGTTTATTTCATATTTTTATACCAAAATTTATTATCTAACGAAGAAGAATGTATAAGAAGTAAAATACATTATGTTAATTATGTATTTGCTTGAAATCAAGGGGAAAAATAATTAATTGTAAATTTATGTTTGAGTTTTTAGTTTTTTATCGAAAATTAACGAGATTTTTATATTTCTATAAAAAAAAAAAATTCAAAATTTTTTTTGAAAATTTAGTCTAAATTAACTAATAAACTAGACTAGACTATAGACTAGACTATACTATAGACTAGACTATAGACTAGACTATAGACTAGACTATAGACTAGACTATAGACTAGACTATAGACTATAGACTAGACTATAGACTAGACTATAGACTAGACTATAGACTAGACTATAGACTAGACTATAGACTAGACTATAGACTAGACTATAGACTAGACTATAGACTAGACTATAGACTAGACTATAGACTAGACTATAGACTAGACTATAGACTAGACTATAGACTAGACTATAGACTAGACTATAGACTAGACTATAGACTAGACTATAGACTAGACTATAGACTAGACTATAGACTAGACTATAGACTAGAATAGACTACAGACTAGGACTATAGACTAGACTACATACTAGACTATAGACTAGACTATAGACTAGACTACAGACTAGACTATAGACTAGGTAATAGACTAGACTATAGACTAGACTATAGACTAGACTATGGACTAGACTATAGACTAGACTATAGACTAAACTATGGACTAGACTACAGACTAGACTACAGACTAGACTATAGACTAGACTATAGACTAGACTATAGACTAGACTATAGACTAGACTAGACTATAGACTAGACTATAGACTAGACTATAGACTAGACTATAGACTAGACTATAGACTAGACTATAGACTAGACTATAGACTAGACTATAGACTAGACTATAGACTAGACTATAGACTAGACTATAGACTAGACTATAGACTAGACTATAGACTATACTATAGACTAGAATAGACTACAGACTAGACTATAGACTAGACTACAGACTAGACTATAGACTAGACTATAGACTAGGTAATAGACTAGACTATAGACTAGACTATAGACTAGACTATGGACTAGACTATAGACTAGACTATAGACTAGACTATGGACTAGACTACAGACTAGACTACAGACTAGACTATAGACTAGACTATAGACTAGACTATAGACTAGACTATAGACTAGACTATAGACTGGACTATAGACTAGACTATAGACTAGACTATAGACTAGACTATAGACTAGACTATAGACTAGACTATAGACTAGACTACAGACTAGACTATAGACAAGAATAGACTACAGACTAGACTATAGACTAGACTATAGACTAGACTATAGACTAGACTATAGACTAGACTATAGACTAGACTATAGACTAGACTATAGACTAGACTATAGACTAGACTATAGACTAGACTATAGACTAGACTATAGACTAGACTATAGACTAGACTATAGACTAGACTATGGACTAGACTATGGACTAGACTACAGACTAGACTACAGACTAGACTATAGACTAGACTATAGACTAGACTATAGACTAGACTACAGACTAGACTATAGACTAGACTATAGACTAGACTATAGACTAGACTATAGACTAGACTATAGACTAGACTATAGACTAGACTATAGACTAGACTATAGACTAGACTATGGACTAGACTATAGACTAGACTATAGACTAGACTATAGACTAGACTATAGACTAGACTATAGACTAGACTATAGACTAGACTATAGACTAGACTATAGACTAGACTATAGACTAGACTATAGACTAGACTATAGACTAGACTATAGACTAGACTATAGACTTAGACTATAGACTAGACTATAGACTAGACTATAGACTAGACTATAGACTAGACTATAGACTAGACTATAGACTAGACTATAGACTAGACTATAGCTAGACTATAGACTAGACTATAGACTAGACTATAGACTAGACTATAGACTAGACTATAGACTAGACTAGATAGACTAGACTACTAGAGACTTAACTTAGACTGACTATAGACTAGACTATAGACTAGACTATAGACTAGACTATAGACCTAGACTATAGCTAGACTATAGACTACTTAGACTAGACTATAGACTAGACTATAGGGGACTAGACTATAGACGAGACTATAGACTAGACTATAGACTAGACTACAGGACTAGACTGTAGACTAGACTATAGACTAGACTATAGACTAGACTATAGACTAGATATATGACTAGACGTAGACTAGACTATAGACTAGATATAGACTAGACTATAGACTAGACTATAGACTAGACTATAGACTAGACTATAGACTAGACTATAGACTAGACTATAGACTAGACTATAGACTAGACTATAGACTATACTATAGACTAGACTAGACTAGACTATAGACTAGACTATAGACTAGACTATAGACTAGACTATAGACTAGACTATAGACTAGACTATAGACTAGACTATAGACTAGACTATAGACTAGACAATGGACTAGACTATAGACTAGACTATAGATTAGACTATAGACTAGACTATAGACTAGACTATAGATTAGACTATAGACTAGACTATAGATTACACTATAGACTAGACTATAGACTATGAACTAGGCTATAGGCTAGATTACAGACTAGACTATAGACTAGGTTATAGACTAGACTATAAACTAGACTATTTCTTTCTAAGTTATATACATTACTGGCTAAAAAGAAAGCAACCTATAAACTCAAACATAATTTTACCATTAACAACATTCCAAAATATTCTAAATAGCTTAGTGGCCATTATTAATTTGATAAATTAAATTAAACAAAACGTATATATATAAAAAAATATATTTAAACAAAAATGTTCATTAATTAGTTAGCAAAAAGAGAGAAAAAATAAAAAAGCATTTAATTATTAAGAAAAGAAAATCCCCATAAATTTAAAAGCTAAACAAGAAAACGAACAAAACCATACATACTCTAACATTTTTTGAGCAAAAAAAAAAAAAAAAAAACTCTTTACAATTTATTTAGTTAATTTTTGTATGCAATCAACCAACCAAACAACAAGTCAATCATTTGCAATTCAAACACACCTAATTTTTTTTTATACATACAAATAAATTTTGTAAAAAAATAACTAAAAATCTATATAAATATTTATTAAAGCAGAGAAAAACCGAACAAAAACAAACTACAACAATAACAAAAAAATATTTTATTAAAATAATAATAAAACAAATTTAAAAGAAAATATATTAATAAAAAAGAGCTTATTTTTCATATTTTAAAAACAAAAAAAGAAGGAAATGCTTAAAGAAAATAAATAATTTTTGATACGCTCATATGCCATATAAAAACTACAACGTATTTATTATTAAAAAAAAGCAAAATATATTTATTAAAAAAAAAAAAATTATTAAAATAAATTTAATAGCTTTGTTTATGATTTGAAATTACAAAAATGTTTGCAAAATCAACTTAAATTTAAACAAACGAAAATATTAGTTGCAATTTAATATTTAAACTTTTATTTTGTCTTTTAAGTTTAACATAAAACAAATCAACCGATAAAATAAATAATTTTGTAAAAACCCAAAAGAAAATATCATGAAAAAAGCTAATAAAATTTATTTAAATGTAATAAAAATATGTAAATTTATTAATATTAATTAACAAATACAATAAATAAATAATTTATATAAAAACAATATTAATTAATAAAACAACAAAATAAATATCACAAACTTTATTCAATAAAATCAACTAACTAATAAAAAGCGACACAACATACAGAAAAACAAAACAAAATATTGAGAAAACAAAACTCTTAAAGCGCAGCTTTTATGAACTAAATGAAAATATAGAACAAAAATAAATAAAAGCCAAAAATAAAATTACTCGGCAAATTAATAGAAAAAAAAAAAAAATACAACAATTTGTTTTATTTCATAAAACGGTAAGTGTTCAAAATATGTAAAAGGCAAATCTGATGGAAAATTAAATTAATAGTAAAGACGCTCATAATTCACTTCATAATGTACGTACGAATTATAGCTTATTAGACTCACAATATTCCATTTTATAAACATGCCAAATTTTATTCAAAAATTCTTAAAATCCATCGAAATATCGATTAAAATCTAAAAATCATTTTCGCACAAAACATACATACATTTTTTGCCTATATTCGACCAACATTTGGAACCTTATAACTCGGGAATTGTTCGATATATTTCGAAGAGAGTTATATCAAATGAAAGGTTGGGAATTTAACTATTAGATCGTTGTATTAATTTTGTCAAAAAATATATCTAAGTTGTCGAAAATAGTAATTATAATTTTACGCCCATTTTTTATTGCAACAAGTGGGCGTGGCAGTTTTTGTTTCTTGAAAAATATTCCTCATTTCATTCTCTACCTACACACAAAATTTCATTAAATTTTCTTTAAGAACAACCGAGATATTAAGCAAAATCAAAAAGTATCTTTGGCCCCACAAAAAACGATAAATTAAATTTCAAAAATTTTATCAAACACCAGGTCACCAGAAGCTGGTAGTAGGTGGATTATCACACACTAATTTCTTTAACTTGATATATCTCGGAAACCACTTGAGGTATTTAAGTCAATGTTTCACTATGTGATAGATTGGAAACTTGGCTACAAGATGGGTAACCTTTGGACCGCCAGGCATTTCTTTAAATAGGTTAAAATAGGACATTTATAATTAAGACGTGTATTTCTCACTTCATAATGGACTTAGAAAGTTATATCATAGCATATATGAAGCGCGATATTCCAATTTATAAATATGCCAAATTTTATTAAAAAATTCATAAAATCTATCGAAATATCGATTAAAATCTAAAAATCATTTGAGGACAAAACATACAATCTCTGGTTATGTTCGACCAAAATTTGGAAGCTTATAACTCGAGAACCGTATGACATAATCCAAAGATAGTTACATCGAATGAAAGGTTTGGATTTCTGCTTTTTGATCAATGTAGTCGTTTTGTAAAATATTAAATTAAAGTGGTCGAAGACAGTAATTATATATAATTAGTTTTTTGATATCAATAACAATAACATAAAATAACAACTAACGCCAAAGTAAACAAAACCCACAAAAGACCAAGAAAATAGGAAA